AGTGGTGTCAAAAGACACCAGGGATGCTCGGGCAGAGAGGGAATGTGAGGTTGGGTGAGGACACAAGAACGTGGTCAGCTACACGCCAAGGAGAGAGGCCTTAGGAGAAGCTAACCCTGCTGACACCTTGATCTTGGGCTCCTAGTGTCCAGAACTGTGAAAATAAGTTTCTGTTTAAGCTGCCCAGCCTGCGGTGTTTTGTCATGGCAGCCCTAGCAAACGAATGCGCTGTGTCATTCCATTTATATAAATTTCTAGAAAATTCAGACTAATTTAGATGGACATGAAGCTGATCAGTGGTTGCCTTGAGGGCAGGAGTGGTGCAAGACAGATTACAGAGGGTGATGTGAACATTTGAGCAGTGATGGAGATGCTCTGTTATCTTTATCGTAGTGATGGTTTCATGGGTGCACATGTATGACGATTATACCTCAATACACTGTTGAGAAAGATGGTTTGTGAGTACAAAAGTTATATTACACTTTTTATATTTTGTACACTTTCCCATTGTAGTGTAGAGAGCTGGAAAAACATAAGCTATCTAAGGGAGAGAGATTCAACAAACATCCATACATTAGTGAGGCCTCTGTGTGTTTCTGTTACTAACCACCACCACCAGTAATAGCAGTAGTAGTTATACGCTTGTATATGCCCTGCACTGATCTAAGTCCTTCATAGGTTGTAACTCATGTAATCCTCACCACAACCCTATGATGCTGGTGCTCAGTATCTTTGTTTACAAAAAGGCTCAGAGAAATTAATTACTTTTCTACATTGCAACTAGAAGACAGATCTGGGACTCAAACTGAGGCTTAAGCATCCGCAGTAGTGTTTCTCTATGTTAATTCTTTTTCTAGACTACTAATAGGGTTTCTGTGCTGCATGTTACTTTCTATTTCCAGAAATCATTTTTAGCACTTAAATGGTAGATTCCGTTATTCTTCATATAGAAATACAACTGTATTTTGCAAGCTTGTTGTGTTCTACTGTTTCCTTTTCTGTCTTCCCTTAATCTGAGGTCTCTGTTCCGATTAATTAGTTGTTTGATTAGATACAGGCTAAGTAGTTAATGTAGTCTCAAACTCTGCCTATCTGCAGCTAGCTCTCCTTTTTTTTTTTTTAATCCTGATAAATGAATATCTTTGTTGATTTTAGGATTATGGGGTTTATCTCTCAGTTTTCTCTGGGTGTTAAACTTCACTGTTCTCCAGCTTCCAGTGTTTTAGTTGAGAAATATAATGGTAATCTGATTCTTATTCTTCTATAAGAAACATTTTTTTCATTCATAAATGTGAAACCTTATCACATTCAATTTTTCCCTGAAATTCAGGAATGTTACCAGATGTGTTTCACTTTATCAGTCTTACCTACAACTCATGGAACCTTTCAGTCTGCAGAGTCAGTCTTCCTTTAGCCGTAGGTTAGTGTCTTCAGTTATTTAATCATTGCTCATCCTCGGTCTGCTCTTTTTTTCTTTTTCTGGAGCTCCTGTGATGTAGAGGGTTGGTCTTCTCAATCTGCCTTTTAAGGCTTTCATCTTCCCTCTATTTCTTTACTTCTGCCTTTTTGTAGTTTTTGCATATATTTATATTTCTCTCTCTAGTTTTTATTCTTATTCTCTTTCTTTCATTTGGTCTTCTAGGGAATTAATTTAAGTTTCAAGAAAGACTTTCCTCCTTTAGATCATCTACAAAAATTTTTAGCTAGTGTGGTGATTAATTTTATGTGTTGACTTGGCTAGGCCACAGTACCCAGGTATTTGGTCAAACATCAGTCTAGATGTTGTTTTAAAGATATTTTTAGATGTGATTACCATTTAACCAGTAGACTTTGAGTAAAGCAGATTCTCCCCTGTAATATGCATGAGCTTCATGTAATCAGTTTAAGAGAAAAAATTGAGATCCCCCAAGGAAAAAGCCATTCTGCCTCCAGACTGCCTTTGGCCTCAAGACTTCAACATCAGCTCTTCTCTGAATCTTCAGCCAGACAGCCTGCCCTTCAAATTGCAGACTGGCTAGCCTCCATAGTGATGTGAGCCAATTCCTTAAAATAAATCTCTTTCAGTCTATATATATATACAGCTTATTGATTCTGTTTCTCTAAAGAACACTGACTAATACAAATTTTGGTACCAAGAGTGGTTCTAGAGGAACGGAATCTTATGGATGAGTTTTATGAATTGGCTCCCCAACCTGACAAAATTTAAAGGCATTAATGACTCTTCCTAGTAGTTAAGAGAGCACTGCTAATTCATGGCGTCACATGGCAGTAGAGATCCACAAAACCTCACTGGTGGATATTCTATTCAAATACTTATAAGAGGCAAGGTTCTGGATAACTATGTATACACTACCTTAGATTACTTTTGTCAAACTAACAAGTATAATGAGATTGGCTGGTTGCTCCTAATTGTGCTGGACAAATGGGAAAAGAAAGTTACCATCCCAGGGATTCAGATTTCCAGCCCAAGCACCACATAAATGTCCTGAAAGTTTTTGTGTCTGTGCTGAAAGAAACCCTTATCTCCTACAGCCATGGAGCCAGCACCTCTGACAACCTAACCCCAAGTCTCTCCTGCAAATGGCTAAAATACAATGCAAATTAAATTCCCAACCTTTCAAGGTGTTTGCTGTTCAAATGAGGGCATTGACTGAGAAAGAATGCGATCCTGAAAACGAACAGAAACACAGGGGAAGATCCTGGTGAAGATACGTGCAACAAACCCCTAATCGCTGAGGCATCTTCTTTGCCAGTGCTACTGACGGTGACACGAATCCGATACTGATTCCAGGAGACCTAAAGCATCTCTGTGGTCTGCCAGTTAGATTGGTGCTTATAGAAGTCAGATAATTACTGAAGTTTTAGCTCAGGTCCATTTCACAGTGGGTCCAGTGAGTGCTGACCCACTGTGGTTATTTCCCCAGTTCTGGAATGCATTATTGGAATAGATACACTCAGCAACTGGCAGAATCCTTGCATTGGTTCCCTGACCTGTGAAAGAGGGCTAATCTAACAGAAAAGGTCAAATGGAAGCCACTAGATCTGCTTCTACCTAAGAAAATAGTAAATTAAAAGCAATCCTGCATTCTTGGAGAGAATTCAGAGATTAGTGGCACCTTCAAGGACTTAAAAGAGGCAGAGGTGGTGATTCCCACCACTCCCCTGTTTGACCTATGCAGAAAACAGGTGGACCTTGGAGAATGATAGTGAGTTATTGGAAGCTTAAGCAGATGGTGACTCCAGTTGCAAGTGCTGTACCAGATGTGATTTTACTGCTTTAGAAAATTACACGTCCCCTGGTACCTGGTGTGCGCCTAATGATCTGCCAAACGCTTTCTCTCCATACCTGTTAGTAGAGGCCACTGGAAACAGTTTGCCCTCAGCTGGCAAGGTCAGTGATATACCTTCACTGTTCTACCTCAGGGAAATATCAGCTCTCCAGCCCTGTGTCATAGTTCACAGGGATCTTGACCACCTTTTGAATTACCTGATATATCACAGTGGTCCGTTATATTGATGACATTGTGCTGATTGAACCTAGTGAGCAAGAAGTAGCAACTAACCAGACTTACAGGGAAGACATTTGTGCATGAGAGCATGGGAAATGAATCCAGTGAGAATTCAGGGGCCTTCTACTTCAGTGAGATTTCTAGAGGTCCAGCAGTGTGGGGCATGCCAAAATAATCCTTTCTAAGGTGAAGGATAAAATGTTGCATCTGATCCCTTCCACAGCTGAAAGAGGCAGAATGCCTAGTGGTCCTCTTTGGATTTTGGAGGCAACACATTCCTCATTTGGGTGTGCTGCTCTGGCCCACTTACTAGGAGACTCAAAAGCTGCTCGTTGTGATTGGGGCTCAGGAGACAGGAGAAAGCTGTGCTACAGGGCCAGGCTGCCGCGCAGCTGCTCTGCCACTTGGGCCACGAGATCCAGTAGATGCAGTGCCAGTGGAAGACAGGGAGACTGTCTGGAGCCTTTGTCAGGCCCCTATAGGTGAATCACAGCTCAGGTCCATGGGATTTTGGAGCAGTCTTGCCAGTCTCTGTATATAACTGCTCTCCTTTTGAGAAACAGCTTTTGACCTGCTACTGGGCCTTAGTAGAGACTGAACACTTACCCATGGGCCGTCGAGCCAGAAAGTTGGGCGTGCGTCACCGCATTCCATCATCAAATGGAAGTGGTGAGTACAAGGTCGGGCTTGAGCAGGCTCTGAGGGTACAAGGTAGTTACATGAAGTGACCAAAATGCCCAGGGTCCCTTCTCCTGCTACGTTACCTTCTCTTTCTCAGCCTGCACCTGTGGCCTCATGACGAGTTCCCTATGATCAGTTGACTGAAGAAGAGAAAACTGGGACCTGGTTTCCAGATGGTTCTGCATGATAAGCAGGCACCACCTGAAAGCGGACAGCAGCTGCACTGCAGCCTCTTTTTTGGGGGACAGTGGTGAAGGGAAGTCCTCCCAGTTGGTAGCACTTTGACCAAAGCACTTGCTTGTTCATTTTTCTTGGAAGGAGAAATGGCCAGAGGCACAAATCTTTACTAATTCATGGGCTGTAGTCAGTTGTTTAGCTGGATGGCCAGGGACTTGGAAGGAACATGATTGGAAAATTGATCACAAGGAGATCTGGGAGATATAAATGTGTATAGATCTCTCTGAAAGAGCAAAAAATCATGAAGATATTTGTGTCCTTTGTGAATGCTCATCAAAGGATGATTTAAGAAGAGGTTTGAATAATCAAGTGGATAGGATGACATATTCTGTGGATACTAGTCGACCTCTTTCCCAGCCATCCCCTTCATCACCCGATCGGTTTATGAATAAAGTCAATATGCTGGCAGGAATAGAGGCTGTGCATGGGCTCCTTGACATGGACTTCCACTCCCCAAGGCTGACCTTCCTGTGGCGACTGTCGAGAGCCCCATCTGCCAGCAGCAGAGACCAAGACTAAGACCCTAGTCTGGCAGCTTTTGGCAGATTGATTACATTGGATTGCTTCTGTCATAGAAGGAACAGTGCTTTTTTTTCATCCTGAAATAGACACTGGATGTGGATCTTCCTTCCCCACACATAGGGTTCTACCAAACCTACCATCTGCAGACTTGCAAAATGCCTTGCCCACCATCTTGGTAGTCCACACTGTTTCTGATCAAGAAACTCACTTTGAGGGTCTCATGATGATGCAATTCGCTGGCCTTCACATTTTCCTCGTAACCCTGAGGCAGCTGGCTTGACAGAGAAGTGGAGTGGCCTTTTGTAAACTCAACTAGGTGGCAGTACCTCACAGGGCTGGGACAGTGTTCTCTGGGAGGTTATTTGCTCCAAATTAGTGTCCAGTATATGATGCTGTTTCTGCCATAGCCAGGAATCAGGAATCAAGGGCTGGAAATGGGAGTGGCCCCACTCACTGTAACTTCTAGTGATTAGCACATTTTTCACCTCCTATCATTGCAACCTTATGCTCTGCTGGTCTCAAGGTCTTAGGCTGTCTTCATCAGTGTCATCTGGCACTTGGTAGGGCTTTTCCATCTGCAGACTTGAGTCTTCCTTGAAGGGAAGCAGATCATGGAATTATTTGTGGACTGTGGAGTCTAGAGGAATTGCTGTGTAATACAGAACAGATTACTCAACCTCTTTGAATAAAGGTTCCTCAGGACGCTGCTTGGCGCTGGCCTGCATATCTACACTCAGTTCTACTACTTTCTCTTTTGTTTGGGGGACTCTTCTGTGACCAACTGAGTTATTTCTTCCCTGCTAAATGCAGGCGTACCTGGTTGTTTAATGCTGTGCTTTTGTATTTATTTTACAAATTGAAAGTTTGTGGCAACCCTGCTTAGAGCTAATCCATCAGCATCATTTTCCCAAGAGCATTTCCTCACATATTGGCAATTTTTGCAATATTTCAAACTTTTTCGTTATTATTATATTTGTTATAGTTATCTGTGATCAGTGATCTTTGATGTTACTATTACAAAATGATTACAACTTGCTGAAGGCTCAGATGATGGCTAGCCTTTTTAAGCAATAAAATATTTTTTAATTAAAATATTGTTTTTTAGACATAATGTTATTGCACATTTAATAGACTACAGTATAATATAATCTTTATATGCACAGGGGAACAAAAAAAATTCATATGACTCGCTTATTACAATAGCCTCTTTCTTGTGGTGGTCCAGAAATTGCACCCGGAGCATCTCCAAGGTATGCCTGTGTTCTGAATTTTGTTTCTGAAATTCCTTTTATGTATTCCTGTTATATGATCTGCATCCTTTAGCATTTTAATAATTATTGTCATTTTTTCACTTTTTTTTTTTTTTGGAGTTCTGGTGAACTTCCTTAAGCCAATTTTCTAAATCACTAATTTGCTTTTCTGTTCACTTCTCACTTTAGGGATTTTAATTGAGTAATAATGGTTTTTATTTGAAAGCAAGCTTTTATTATTTATATTGTTTAATTTTCACATATCGAATCTCCCTTTTGATCATAAAAAATTGTTCTCTTCTGCAAAATAGTACATGTTCACTCTAAAAAATTTTAGATGATAAAATAGCCACTGCTAGCTTTTTGATAAATACTTGCCAAGTTTTTAAATTGTATGTTTATATATGATATATATGTATATGTACATACATATATATGATGAAAGATCTTACTTTAATGCTCTTTTACCTCCTTTATAATTGAATAATTTAACAAATTTATATCAATAAACACATGTGTATCATCCTTTTCAATAATAAAATAATGTTTGCTTAGATTTCATTTAAAATACAAATAGGAGTTTTTAAAAATATTCTTCCCTCTTATAAAAAGGAGGACATTTGCTATGATTTCTCAGAATGGTTTCCTTTTGTGAAGTGCTGGATATCTTTGTATATCTAGTGACTGTTTTTCCTATTTATTCATATTTACAAGGAGATATTTGCTATTTTGGAATTTGAAAAAGGTTCTGTCAGAAATTGTGCACACCCTGTTCAGTGATCTTGGTCATAGCGTATTTGCTGGGTAAGTGGGCTGAGTACCTTGAGTAGCAGGGAAGGACTATGGGTGAGACCACTGCGTGGTAGGAAGGACCCTCCTTTTATTCCCTCTGTGGGAGCAGTGGTGGAACCAGAGCCCCAGATGTCCATGTAAAGTGAAGAAAGAGCTCCTGGGCCAGTGGAGTTTATTGGAGAGCCAAGTAGTTGGGTTTCCCCCTCATATTTGTTCTAATAGTTCGTGTTAGATGAGCCCCATGTTACCTGGAGCAAATTCACTACTTTGAGGCATCCTTTTGTCACAGTACCTTTGCTCTGATTAGCATGCCACTTCACCAGGTGAAGGCTGAGAATGGACATAAAAGATGACTGCCTTGTATGGGGGCCACTGGTAGAATTCCAGTAATCCTAGCATTTGTATCTGATCAGCTACCTGAGTCTTTTTCTCCCCAGCCCCTGCTGCTCTGGGCTCGCGTGTTCTCTGGATTTGTAGGAGACTGTCATTCATTCACTTGCTTCCTCAGAGCCCTCCCCCTTTGCTGTGTTCAGTTACAGGCTAGGAGGTACCTCCCTTGGCCTAATCCTACCTATGCCATATATAACAGCAATCTCTCAAAGTGTCTGGATTTTGGCATCCTTCTCTGTTTAGTAGAAACTGGGTTTTAAACAAAACTAACTTATCCTAACTATATATTCCTTAATCCATACCAGTAGGTTTTCAGGAGGGAAAAATTTAAGTTCATGGGCTGAAGTAACCATTTTGAAAAGAAACTCCGATGCCATCTTCTCTGTTGGTCAAAGAGATACATGGATGTACTCACATGAAATGCTTCCATGAAATCTGGGTGTATGGCATCTCCCACTTCTCCTTTACCCATCAGATGTTTCTGTTTTTGTAATAGATGATTCAACATGTGTTCTTCTTGGGGAAAACAAGGACTGCATCAGTGCTAGTTACATTAAAATAGTCAATCCTGGAGAAGAGTATTACTATATTGCCACCCAAGGACCACTGCCAGGTACCACAGATGACTTTTGGAGGATGATTTTGGAAAATAACTCTTAATGTTATTGTCATGATAACCAGAGAGGTAGAAAATGGAGTTATCGAATGCCACCATTGCTGGCCCATTTCTACGAAGAAGCCTGTGGAATTGAAAAGCTGTCGTGTCTTCCTGGAGAACTACCAGATACTTCAGAATTCCGTCGTTCGAATATTTCAAGTTGTCAGGAAGTCCGTAAGTTTAAAAAAAAACTCATCTATTTAGAGATGTATATTTCATTATATAAGCACACATGTCAGGAGGAGCAGTTAGAAGCAGGATGGGATATAGCTGGGGATACTTTTTAAAGTAACTTGTTTTTACTTCTCCCTGGTACCAGAAAGTAAGACAACAAAACTTCTATTTCTGCCTAACCAAACTCTGGAGAGATGTTAGGGCAGTTGAGAGCGAGTATTAGAAGTTGCCTAATCCTGGGCTGCACTGTGGCTGCTTCTGCTGAGTGTGACATATACATATATTGAGTCCCTAAGATAATGCTGATGATCACGGTGCAGGCGCTACGGCTCCACACCGAGTAGTGAAGAGTTCAGTGCGCTCCCTAGACTTCCAGTTCCTCTGCTCAGTGGTAATACTGAGATCTGTATGGGGTGCTTTGGGGGCTCAGGAGGGACATATTTAGCTCTACTTGGGTTTTATGGAAAGGTTTTCTAGAGGAGGTGACATCTGGATTGAGAATTGCCCAAGTGAGAAAGATGGAAAGAGGAAGTAGATGGCTGAGGTGTAAAAGAGCATGGGTTATGTAGACAGACATATAAGTAGTGAAGTGTTTCTGGAATGTAAAATCTCAATGCCAGGGAATAATGAGGGCTGAGAAGAGGCTACAGAAAATAGGCAGGGAACTATCTTGGATTTCAGCTCAGGAACATGAACTTTATTATGAAGATAATTGGGACACATTTGAGGTGAAGTGCAGCACAAGTGAGGTGGTAGCATACGAGCTCCTGCTCAGAAAATGGTGCTGGAATTTAAGAACTGAGAGGTTTTTGATACTAGACAATATAGTGGTGGTAAGTCCAATGCATGATCATCAGTGTGAAGACTGAAAGAAAGGAATGGTCCCCTTTGCAAGAGAGAAGTAAAAATGTGAGGTTAGAGTGTCTGCTGGGCTGTTGAGATCCTGAATTTGCCCTGTCAGAGTCTGTTGTCAGGAGACAGGCAGCATCTCTGGTGAACGTGGCAGATGAACCGGGAGGTTTAGCCACTGGGTGATAGCAATGAGAAGATGGAGCTAGGAGGTATGACACTCAAAAGGAAGAGGAGTTTTTGTACCAGGAGAAGGAATAGTGAATTGGAAATAGCATTGGACAGCAGGGAGTCTGCAACCTAATCTCTACGCTCTGTGGTACCTGGCGCACAGGAGGACAGGTGGGCTGGATTAGAGAGGGCTGCGGAGTGCAGTGTCACGGGAGGCAAGGCAAGGAAGTGGAAGAAGCATTTAGGGAAGTGATGAGGGTTTCCAAGAGCTTACTGTAGGATGGGGGCCTGAGTACAAAGGGAGACATGGAAGAGACAGAAGGGTAGGCAGGGAGGGGAAGAGGTGAAATTGAGGGGCGTGGGGAGGATCAGAGCACAGAGTAGTGACCAGGGAGGCCGAGAATAATGATGGCTGACGCTGGTGGGGAGCTTGCTGCTAGTGCTAAGCGCTGTGCTTGCTCTGTACGCCTGCGGATTTGCCCGGCCCCTCGCTCCCCTGATACTGTTGATTCCCTCTGATTAACCAAGTATTGTGCCAGGTGCTGCAGATAGAAAGCAGTACAGTCTCCATCTTAGAGTACTGACGTCTGGTGAGGAAGGAAGACACCAGTTCCAGGTGACATGTGGTGCGTGCTATGAGAGAAGGACGGCATGCTTGGAGAACACAGGCCAGATGGGAGGCACAGAGGGATGATCTGTCTGCAAGGGTGCAAATGCTCGGGTCCACCTGTGGAGCCTTGGCAAGCGGGTCTAGGGTGGTGGCCTTTGGGCTGAGGCCCACGAGCCTCAGAACCACGGGGTTTATGTTTGGAGAATCTGAATCATGGGTTCTGTCTTCATGGCACTGGCTGGGGAAAGCAGCGAGGCCCACCTTTGTTCAGTTTCTCAGGGGTCAGCAGGGGCAGGAAAGACTTAATCCCTGAGCTATGTGATGGGATGAGCACTGTCCTCAACTTGGTGCCTTCACAAGATTTTCAAGTATTGTTTTCCTCATCCAGTTTCATATACGAATGATTCAAACTTGATTTTCTGTTTGGAACTTAGGAAAAAGAGGTGCATTAGGGAGAAGCAGAGAAGGAGTGAGAAACCCGCCCAGAGTTTTTTCCCAAGGGTACCCAGTGAAGTAAGATGAGGGCTCCACCCTGGGGAAAGGGTGAGCCTTCTGGAGGGTATGATGGGTAAACTCAGAGTGCTTTATCTGTCGACTCTGAGGAGAGTTCCATGACCCCACTTTCAGGGGGCTCAGCACAAGAGTTGGGACCAAAGTCTACTCACATGGTCATTAACCACCCTGTCTTCATCGCCAGAGGAGATTGCCCCCCCGCCCCTCACCAACCTGACCCAACTTGACAGCACCTACCTATTCTAATTAAATTTAGTATCATGACATATAAGCCAAGGTAGACTGCTTTTCTATCTAATTGCTAACATGTAAGCTCATCTTTCACTCAAAGCGTTTGGATTCTTGGTGCAGAAGGAAAATGGAAGAGTTGATCTGGAGGGCCTACCCTATTGTCCAGCTCTAAGCCTGTGAGCCTCCTGACCTAGTGTGCATCTGTCAGTCACTCCTGCTCTTACTTTTTCATCTGTAAAATGAGGATAACATAGTGCCTGTTCCCCAGGGCTGATGTGCAGGTTAAATGAGCTAATATGTGTCAAATCCTTAGCACAGTACCTGGCACATTGTTAAGTGCTCAGTTCTTGTTACTTGTTAGTATTCTTATTTTTATTAACATATCGATGTAGTCATTATTATTACTATATCTGGCACATTAGAAATTAATATAAGATCTCTAATACAAAAAGCTGAGAAATCTCTCTTCTTCTCTCCCCTTTTCCACTCTCTCTCTCCCCACCCCTCTTTCATGCTCTCTCCCTTACTCCCTCTTACCCTCCCCACCTCCCACCCCCAACAGACAGAAACTAGTCACTTTGTAAAACACTTGCAGTTCACCAAGTGGCCAGACCATGGCACTCCTGCCTCAGCAGAAGGTTTCATAAAGTATGTTCGTTATGTGAGGAAAAGCCACGTTACAAGACTGGTCCTTGAACTGCAGTGCTGGCGTGGGCCGGACAGGGGTGTTCCTCTGTGTGGATGTTGTGTTCTGTGCCATTGAAAAGAACTTCCCAGTAAGTGTGTGAATTAAGCAGATAAACCAATGCTGTTAGTAAATACTGTACTTTTAATAGCCTTCTAATATCTGAAGATTCATATTTGGCTTTCAGGAGCAACTTATTAAATAGCATGTGAGCTTTGGTTACCTGCGTCTCACTTAACTGCTGCAGGTTCTTGGAGATGGTTGTGAGGATTAAAGTACAGAATGCAAATGAATGGCTTAGGACAGTGTCTGGAGCGTAGTAGGTACACAGTAAACGTGAGTTCACTTTCCCTTTGCTTCCCGCCACCCCACACATACAATTTTTAGAATCTTGTTAGAGGATGTTGATGACATGTGCCTGTTTTTAATGAACAGAAATACATATACGTGAGCACATTAGACTTCAGAGTTAATGAGAGGTCCTTGGGTGTGACTGTCAGTTTTGCCACATACTTTAGATTTTGGTGACTGTGACATTTCTCATCGTCTCTGAAAGCTAGTGTTCTCATATATAAAATAAGGATAATAATATTGTTGGTTTGAGTCAATCATTAACAGTTCTTTACTTCCCTCCTAAGTTTGTAACCAGCTAAGGCGTAGACACAAGAATTAGACATACTGTGATTCTGTTACCTGTATTACTTATTAAACTAGTTAGGGAATGTGGCTTTAGATATGTGCCCCAAAAGGCCTACCTACTGAACTGTTTTCCTGTCTGTGAGGAGGGGAAGCAGGCACTGGGAGAAAGCAGCTCTCACCATGCCCGCAAAGTATACAAAAATCCACACCTCAGTCGTAAGAAAGCAGGGGCTATGAGACATTTGCCCTGGTAGACAGGTCCTGCAGCATTATCTTGTTATCAGAATAGATGTCAAGTCTCTGCTCTCTCAGGCTTTATGTAGTTAGAGCCAAACAATGACAGGCTCTCACCTGTGACAGCAGATTAACTGCATGGGCTCCACACCTCCCCCTCCTAAGTGTTGTATTATTGAGGCAGGAAGCCCCATAAAAAGACCAGCAGGACCCCCAGGCAGGGCCACTACTCCCCTGCCAGCACCATCCAGTTCCCCGGCCCAGAGGCTCTATCTCACTTTTTTTGCCTCTATCTCACTTTTTGCCTCTGAAAGGGCTTACTTACCCCTAAAATTCTAGTGGTTCCCTGAGCTCACTCCTTATTGGTTATTTCCTTCAATCCTTATTGGTCCATTTCCCTAACTTCTGATTGGTCCATTTGTAGTGCTTCATTTGCAAGGAGCTTACTCCCGATTGGTTATTTCTCTCTCTCTTGATTGGTCCATTTTTACAAAGCTTGTTCCTAATTAGTCAACTTTTGTTATACCTTATTTGCATATGATGTTGCAAAGTGTAAACTGGCAGCCTATATAAAAGCCTGTGTAAACCTGCGGACGGGGTACAGGGCTTGGGGTGTTAACTCCTCTGCGCCCGCTGGCGTAATAAACCTGAGTTCTCCGGCTCTCTTAGTGCTGCTTGCTCTCTTGCCTGGATCCAGGTTGCTGTCACAACTGAGCTGTAACACCAAGCTGTAGTACGTTTTTCTGCAACATTTCATGGAGGGTACAAAAATGTCCTCTCCCAGTAACTCCCTGGAGGACAGAGGAAGTTTCTTTCTCTCAGAAGCTTTAGCCAGTATCTCCTATCATTTCTCTGATCCCAATTGAGTTATAGCCTTTACTCTAAACTAATCACTGTGGGAGATGCTGATCCATTTAGGCCAGTCAGACTACTCCAGGCCATAAGGTTGTGAATGAAGAGCAGAATGGTTTTCCAAAGCAAACTGAGAGTTTTATTACAAAGAATGAATATAAATGAGGTGATCAAAAAAATGACAAATGTCCTCAAAAATGCTGAAAATTTAAGTAGTATCAATCTGATGTTACCAGTTCCCATGGTTAATGTTGTTTTAGTCTTTCAACAGAAAATGCATTAGCAGAGTTTTTATTTTATATATTGTTCATCATAATTAAATCACTGTTTATATTTGTCCTTATTTTATATTCCTTATAGAAACTGTAAAAACTGTAAATTTTATATTTTATGATTCTAAGGGGCACTGGGTTGTTTTCCCCTCATTATACTTTCTTTAAATTCAAAATGTGTTTTGTAATAAATCATCTGTCAACTTAATTGACGATTTTTCTTAGGGGTACATAAAACAGTGATATATTTTATAATTAAGGATGCTTAGATTTGATTAAAAACTAGTGGTTCAAAAATAAGAAATACATCCATTGTTTCCTTATTGGCTTTCCATAGAGCCTTGAGCTGTCAAGCGCTCCTATGGATGTCCCTCTCCACTCTTCTCAGAAATGTTTCCTACCAGAGCCAGTCAAAGTATGGCCTTGGACCAGCAGCAATTTGTGGATGTTCGTTATTTGCAGCAAGATAAATTTTCTGAAATTGAAAGTAAGCATTTAGAAACTTTCAGAGCAGTTTGATGTATCACTGTGATGTCCAAGAGCACGACAGTGGGTTGGCCTTGTTGAACAGGGTGTAGACCAGTTTGTGTGTTGTGGAACTCACACAGGGGATCTCGCATGCTGCAGACTGTGTATGGCTAGACACGTGACCGCTGATATTTTAAGATTAGTTTATTAATTATAACTCTAAAGAATATGAAAATCTGAGAAGATGTAACCATTTATTTCTTTTTATTAGTTGCTATTTTATAGTCATTTTTATTTTTCATGAGGCTTACTTAAAAATCCTTAAAACATTGGGAACAAAGTGGCTCTTCTTTTGCCAAAACACAGAGATTGGTCTGTAGTTGAAACATTCTCGATAGAACTTTCCCCTCTAACCATCTTCAGCATGCAATAACGGTCGTTAATTGTCAGTTTCTATGTTATGACATAATGAAATGAATAATCCAAAGTTTAACACATGAACCTTTACAAAGTCAAAAATTCTTTACCACCCCTCTAAGCACACTGTTCAGTTCACCTGGTAGGTTTTTGTTTTGTTTTGTTTTTTTATTTTTGTTCTTGTTTTTTTGGTAGCAAGACTTTCTGGATGAAGCAGTGTGTTGATTTATCTTCTGGGATAAATTCTTTAATCTGTGTAACTACCTCAAGACTGTTTTTTTTTTTGTCATTGCAGCTCTACTACCAGAACATAATCTGATACAAAACTTAAGCTCCAAATTGCATTTATTGACGATGTAGTACTTTGCATTTTTATACAACTTAAAACCTGTCGTGTTTGTCAGTAATCAAACCAAGCAAAGGAAGAATTTTTGCTTCTTATCACATGATGTTCAAATCACAGATATGCTGAATCACTATGTTAGCAGTATCTGTGCATTTATTAAGTTGTGGTGGTAAATAAACACTTTGCTACTTTTACTTGTTTCCTAAGTTGGTACCATTCCACATCCCCAGGCAGTCCCTGAATTCGTCAGGTTGTGATGTCATTAGAAAATGGTACTTTAACTATCTTTTTTTTTTTTTGGCCACATAATCACCTCAGATTTTCAAGAAAACACCTTTAGTCAAAAACACTCTTTGTCGAAAATAATTGGGAGTATTTGTATGGAGCCTATGTCCAGTTCCATATTCTGTTTCATTGATCTGTGTGTCTATCATTTCGTTAATACCACACTTTGAATTCCTGTAGCTTTATAATAAGTCTTAACATCAGATAGAGTGAATCTTTCTCTTTCAAAATTGTTTTAACTATTACAGGTCTGTGCCTTTCCATGGAAATTTTAAAATTAGCTTGTCTATGTTTACAAAAAAGCTTGAGGGATTTTGATAGGATGAATGGACATTTTTACTATGTTGGATCTTCCAGTGTGAATGAGGCATGTCTCCATTTATTTAGGTCTTCCTTGATTTCTTTCATCAACATTTTGTCATTTTCAGCATATAGATTCTGTATAATTTTTTTAGATTTAACCTGTTTCATTTTCTTTGGAGCAGTTATAAGTAGTATTATGTTTTCACTATCATGTTGATTGTGTGTATATGTATGTAGAAATGCAATTGATTTTTACATGGGGATCTTGTATCCTGTGATCCTGTTGAACTCACTCATCAGTTGTAAGAGGTTTTTTGTTCTGTTTTATTTTGTTTTTAGATTTCTTGGGATTTTCTACATAGATGATCATTCTATGTGCAAGTAGGGACAGACTTATCTCTTCCTTTCTAGTATGTTTGCCTCTTACTTCTTTTTCTGTTCTTACTATACTATCTGGAACTTCAAGTGTTGTGTTGAATATGAGAGGTGAGAGAAGACATTCTTGCCATCACTGATATTAGGGGGAAAGCAAATTAAAATCATTTGTTCTGTGAAAGACCCTACGAAGTGGATGAAAAGACAAGCTACAGACTTGGAGAGACTGCAGCAAGCCACATATCCAGAAGAGGTCTTACATTTAGAATATATAAAGAACCCTCAAAACTCAAGAATAAGAAAAAACAAAAATGAAAAAAATTCAGTTAGAAAATGGGTAAAAGACTTGACATTTCAACAGGATGTAGTGATGACAAATAAACACATGAAAAGATGCTCAGCTTCATTAGCTTTTAGGGACATGAAATTAAAACCATGATGAAATATCATTGGATATCTATCAGAAAAAAAAACTAATATAAAAAATAATGACAATACCAAATTCTGGTGAAGATTTGAGAAACCTAGATTACTTATACATTGCTTGTGGACATGTAAAATGGTAGACCCAGGCTGGAGAAGAGTTTTAAAATTTGTTTTAAAAAAAAGCAAAAGCAAAACTAAACTAAACTTGCCATGGAACCATAGTAATAGCATGCTTGGCTATTTATTCCAGAGAAATGAAAACTTACATTCACACAAAAACCTGTACATAAATGTTCATAGCTGATCTATTTAGAATAGCCAAAAACTGGAAAAAAAACTTAGGTGTCCTTCAAAAAGTTGATGGTTAAAAAAATTGGTTTACATCCATACTGTGGAATACTATTTAGCAATAAAAAACTGAACTATTGATACAGTTTCAAAAAATCTCAAGGCAATTAGGCTAAATGAAAAAAAATCAATCTCAGAAAGTTAGATATTACATGATTTCATTGTATAATCCTCTTGGAATAACAAAACTGCAGACATGGAGAATAGATTACTGGTTGCCAAGGGTTGGGGATTGAGATGGGTGAGTAGTTCTAATGGATAGCAGGTGGAAGTCTTGTAGGGGGACAGTGTTGTATCTTGATTGTGGTTGCAGTTATCTGAATCTTCATGTGTGACAACATTGTATAGAACTATACACACTCACACATACATGCATACACTCACAAATGATTACTGTGTAAAACTGGCAAAATCTGAGTAATCTCTGGATTATATCAATGTCAATTTCCTGGTTTTGATATATTATACTCTAGTTATATAGGATGGTATCATTGGGGGAAACTGGGTGAAGGATACACAGAATCTCTCTGCACAGTTTTTTTTTTTTGCAACTTACTATGTATCTATAATTATTTCAATTTAAAATGTTTAAGGCTTAATTAAAATTTTAAATTATAGAAATGACAAGTTATAAAAATAAAGGAATGCTAACATTTTCTCTGATTTTTACATACTTTTGGATTATAGTTGACAAACTTTAAAATTTCATGGTCTTGCTGCGCATGTCAACATGATCTTGCTGCACATGGCTGGTCCTCAGTGCACCACACGTAACTTTTCAGGCAAGTTCAGCAGCACCTGAGCTGGTCTAGATTCTGTTCCGCTGATGAGGCTTCTCGATGCTGTGCCACTGTCAGGTTGCTGTGAGAGTTTCTAAACACTTGGTACCAGTTTCTAGACTAATCTCATTGTGGTCTAGCAACAGCCGTTTGCAGACCTGCACCATCTTAGCAACCACACTGGTAAAGCGCAGGTGCAGAATCTGGTGTTGGGCCAACTGGTGCTCAGGGTCTCCAATTGAGCTGAGTGGGCTCTTTATATAAGAAACAGCTGTGTTACTGTTGTGGCCAGAAAATGTCTTCTGTGCTTCAGAATTTTCCAAAATCATAGTGCTGCTTTAAGTTCTCCCTTTGGAGAACAGGAAAGTATACACAGGGGCAAATTTGTTGTTATTTCTTTTGGAGAACATTTCTTATTATATTTATAAATGATTGCTTCCTGTTTTTTCCTGGAAACCCATTTAAACAAGTCTTACTTATCCATTAGACTAGATTGAATGTAGTACATTTTCTTATGACTGAAAATGAGAACTTTCTGGTTAAATTGTGATATATCTTTTACTCGAAAGAAATATGGAGTTCTCATCTGGCATCTGTGAGTTTGTGTTTTCCCCCTATATGGATAATACAAAATTATTGTCATCCTATTACAGTTCAACTTCATGAATATAGTGGGCCAAATGAGAGAACAACGTTATAGAACGATCCAAACAAAGGTAAGTCTCACCACATAAATTCTAATAACAATATTGAATATGAAGATGAACGCTGTATAGCACATTACAGTGTATAAAGCTCTTTTGCCTACATGATGTCGTTGAATTCTCACTGTTTGAGATAGACAAGAGTTTTGCTCTTCTATTACTGATGAAGTACTGCAAGTTCAGGGTGAAGAAGTTTGTTTGCTAAGGTCATTCAGATAGCAAGGGGAGGAGCCAGGACTGAAACTGAAGACTTCTGATGCCCACACACGTGCTTTGTCCATAATGTCTTGTTATTTAAGTAACATACCTAAAGTTATTTCCATAAACTTCTGGATAGCAGTTTTGGGATATTTACTTGGAACTAAACATATCAGTCATTGGCATGTCATAAAAAAGACATTTATTTCATAGATTAGTTATGTTAATCATTGGGGTAATCAAGAAAATATGGATAATGAAAAACAGGTACCCCTAAATCTTTTTTAGGGTTTTTTTTAGGCAATGTTGAATGATATGAAGTGTTTCATTTGGACTAGGGGGTGCCTGAGAGACCTGAAAAAAAGGAGTTCAAATTTGATTTATCCAGTGAAGATATAAAGAGAGTGAGATTAAGAGGCAGTTTCTCCTCTGTTCAGTTAACCTTTAGTTAACTGGTTCTATACCAAGAACTATATTATCATTTATCTACCTGGTATTTAAAATATGTTTACATGAAGAGGTTCTTGGTTAAATGTTTGCTTTTTGTGGTAGGAAATTACAAATGCGTTCTCTGAAAGTGGATGTTGGTATTCAGTTAACATTCCATTGTCTTTCATATAGGTGTATTTAGGAGCAGTATACCTTCTGGTATAAAATTGTGCATGAAATTCTTCATAAGCTTCTGACTTTAAAGTAAGAAAGACTTCTGTTGCCTCACACTTGAAATTACCAAATGGCTTGGAGCTTCCTCACAAAGAATATGTTCAAGCTGTGCTGAAGGGCTTGCTCCTGCAAATGTGCTTTCTTGGTGTATCATTTGACTTTCTTCCTGGCAAATCCCTGAAGGCAGCATCGTTGGATTCGGGGTGAACGGTGTTTACCCACTGACCTTACTTAGGTAATAGCAGGTACCCTCCCACATTTTCCAATGAAATGAAAGTTACGTAAAACAACTGCAGCCTATTTGGTTGAAGGGATTACAGAGCTCGGTAGAGGACTTAAACTGTATTATTTAAGATTTTATTTGGAAAGACAGCTAACGGGAGCTGAGAATTTTCAGGATCACAAGATCACAGGATCACATCATGACCTCTTAACAGGCATTTTCAAGGTAGACACTTATCCATTATCCATGGTTTTTAGCTAGAGGCTGTACTGTTAGGTGGTATTTGATTAACTTAGGTTACTGAAGAGTCCAAATAGGATGGGTTAACTTTCTACACAAATTGGATTCCATTTTCCTGTACTTCTGCACTCCTGTGGGGCCCCAGGAACCTCAGAGGACAAGCTGCCTTTCTCGAGCAGCTGGACAAAGACCTGTTGGTCTGGGAAGTATTTTCCTGGGTGGGCAGAGTTCCTCCTCTCCATCACGGGAGCACACTGGTGAAAGGTCCAAAACTAAAGTAGATGTTTATATAGAAAGTCCAAAAGGAAATGTTTGCCCGTCTTGAGTTCTTTCCTATCCCACCCTAACACTTAACATATTACCCAGTCTGCTTTGTTAAAAGCAAATATTACCTTTCACTTACCTCTTACTCTCTGCCCTTTAGCTAACCAATGAACTCTGATACCAGCATCATTACGTACTTCCGAGTATCGCTTATGCCAGATATATTTTTCAAACTGAAATCTATGATAATTATTTTTTTCTTCAGGGTCCCATTAAATCATTTCTTTCCATGACTGCCCCACCTCTGCTATAACATTTAGAAATGGGTTTTGGGAACCAGATTTTGGAAAACCAAATTCATAGTTGCCAAAACGAAAACTTCCATATTCTGTTTTTAAAAAGATGTGGCCATTATTACATTCGTCTTATTACAGGATATTACCTCATCCAATTATAGTGATATTTTGGTCAAGGAATTTTAGTGACCAGTTATACCTGATTACAAACTATGAAGCAAGTGATACATGTCTCTGTATGATGTAATTCAGTAGAGATCAGAATAGCCTAACACTATATTGAAAACATTTCTAATATTAATTTGTAAATCTTGAATTTTTAAGAGGCTTATTTTGTTCTCTTGGCTGAATGAATACTTGAATTGGTTGAATTAAAATTGATAATTCTCATTTAAAAAATAATTACATTCCAGAAATATACTTTATATTAAATGGAATTGATGATTTTTACTTA